TGATTGCATTGCTGGTGGGTATTGATTTTTTTTTTCCCACATAAAAAGAAATCTGCTTCCCACCGAGAGTGAAAGGCAATACGACGCAAAAAATAGCAGAAACCAGTAATATAATAAAGTAACAGAAAATAAAAAAATAGAAAAGGTGAAAAGAAACTTGAAATGGCTAATAAAACAAAGACCACGTCATTAAGTGGTAGCGACTCCAGAAATAAAAGTTAAGAGATAAGATAAATAGCAACAGCCACAATAAAGAAGAAAAAACAACATAAAGCTGAACGTCAGGCAAACAGTCTGGAGCGCTACATACGTAAATATGTGTTACATGATGTGTCATTTTGTTCTGCCAGTCGTGTGACTCACAACACATCCAGGTCAGTGACCTCACCTTTCTCCACTGCTGTAAAGGTGCCCATACACTGCTCGATTCCCGAACGAGAATCGCAGGAAATCCCGCGATCGGACGAGAATCGAGCAGTGTGAACGAAGACGTGCGCCCGTTTCTACTGTACGGTCGCACATCTTTTGTCTAAGGAGCACGCTAGAAAACCAGCCGAGAATCGTACGATTTTCGGCTGGTTTGAACGGTGCTCGGCAGACAAATGCCGAACGGGCCGGTGTGCGCACACTGCCCGTTCAGCATTGCGGTCATCGGAAGCCCGCCCCTCAGGGGGGCGGGCTTGCGATGATCGAGAGTACGATCTGCCTGCCCAAGATGGGCAGATCGTACATTTTTTTAATCACTTTACAACCATCGCAAGACTAAGGTCTTGCGATGGTTGTACAGTGTATGGCCACCTTAAAGCAGCAGCTTGCTGAAGCACCCACCTCCAGACTGTGACTGGACAATTAAGGAGAGACCACTCTCCTTTGAGTTAATTGAGTTAATTCCTGTGTTCTCTCCTCTCTCTATATACTTGACTGACAGTATTGTAAATGAAGTATACCCTGCTTGAAGAAATAAAGACAGATGGACTTTATATCAGGAATTCCTGTTTTGTTTTTGTTTTTATCTCAGAAGTGCATGCAAAAGAACATTTCCGAAGGCTGATCCTCCTTCTTCAGTAGTGTTTAGATGAATCACCGCTCTGAATCCCTTCTTTTGTATGCATGCACCTCTGAAAATTATAAACAGAATTTACTGATTTAAATACTCAGTAAGCTCATATATTAATATCACTCTTGAATGAGACTTGGGGATTTTTATACTGGATGTGCACATTACTGAGTATGCTTGGTCCTTCCTCCCCTTGCCTGAGCTTTGCTGTACAGAGCATTATAGGAGGCTAATATAAAGAGAGATTGAGGTACCATTTAATGCTTTGCATTTAATTATTTCCTAATAAATATATAATAAGATTTATTAGGTATTTTTTATATCTGCCTACAGTTCTCTTTCAGCAAAAATTTAAAAATAAGTTTACAAAATATTGTACATCAGAGTTAGCTCTTTAATTAAATTTCAACAAAAAATTTGGCAAAATGCATGACAATCAGGAACCAATTTTATTCCCGATCATGCGATCACTATCTCAGCTATGACATACGGTACTTATTTTATGCAGATTGGAGGCTTTGTTGAAAATAAGAGAAGTTTACTGTTAGGGATTAGATACAATTTAACCTTTCCACGTCCAAGAGTGGTTAAAACCTTGGTGACCATTCCGAATTTTACAGTTTTGATTGGTTTGCTCGAAAATCACTACTTAACTGTGTTACATTCCCAAAATATTTTTCACTATATTTTTTTTTTTTTAGTAGATAAGATTTCTTTAAAATATTGCTTTAATACATTCCCCACTATTGTTTTTTATTTCAAGTGAACAGTCGGACAACATTGATTTTTAGTTTTGTATAAACACATTTTTGAATAGTGAGTACTATAGTAGGTAGGGTTTTTTTTGTAGAAGAGTTCTTATAAGTCTATTTTGTAAAAAAATAAAACAAAAAACAAAAAACCTTCTTTTTCCTTTTGACTAGCATTTTTTTAATACATTGAACGTGGCACATGCGCAGTGCAGTGTACATTTCTGGCATCTGGAAGAAGCTGAGATTAGGAGCTGGTGGTTAAATAATATAACTCAAGGGTACATGTGCAGGATGTACATCATCAGTAGCCGTAAAGAAAAAAAGGCATGGGATGTGGCAGCAGCAACGCCGGGATGGGAGAGGTTCAAATCTGCCACATTGTACCAGTATGCTGGGCACATTATAAAAAATGCTCCTGCTACCCTAAAAGGTTTGGTCTACAACCTTCCCTTTTAGAATAAGGCAGTTTTAAAGTGGACCTGCCAAAGGTTACATAGGGCCGAATTCACATTGTTGCTTTGTGATAATGCTCACATTTCCATGACACTTGGTACCGCAGCATACATGCATTAGTGCGTTGTACTGCCATTCATTCTGAATGTATTTTTAATGGCACCCCAACGCACTGAGGCAATGGACCGACTACCAAGTGTTGTGGTGCGCTGTGTTGCTAAAAAATGGTCAGGTCTGGTTTTAGGTGCTCTAACGTGTGCTAGCAAAATGAATGGGCTGCCTTATTGCAACACAGGTTATTGCATGGCATAACACACATTAATGCGTATGCAGTAATCCATCCATCAAACATGTGCCAAGGCCCTTACAGTCATCTTCGCAAGTCCACAGTGTGGACTGTGGAAAAAGTGACAGTTCTAGTGACGGGGCATCACATGTACACAAGTCTGCAATTGACTGAGAGTGGTTTATAAATAGTGCAAGAAATGCAGCCATGTTTACTCTAAATAAAAACATGTTGAATGTCCAGAGTGATGTAGAACAGATTGTGTAGTTTTATGCTACCGAACGTTTTCATAAGACTTTTCGAGATTAGACGAGCACTTTTTGCCTAATGTTATCAAATTCAGAAATATGGCAGCGTGCGTATAAATAATGCATTTTGCTTCAATATGTCTGACATCTTCAAGCTGACAGTAAGCAGAAAAGAGAACCTCACTCCTGTGATTAAACACAAAGCAAAGAAACTGGCAGAAGGAGAGTGCAGGCATGCATCCTGAGAACCTGGCTCGGCAGAACAGGCCAGCTGTACCTAGATGCCCCCGGGGCTGGTTACATAACATGACCACAGTGCTGCAATCACCTGGCACCAAATATATTTGGCACTTACTGTATGTTCTGTCTCCGCCAAATCACCAGTAAACTTGTTCCATCCAGTTCAAATTCTTGACAACCTTCTACAAATTGAAATGTCTAAAGAGTTAAGTTATGGCATCCTATGCTATTTGGGGATGCAGAATCTGTGCTTTCATTAAATTAATACCTGGTAATCCTGTCATGACAATCATACTTTTGGCACTTCCTGTTATAGGATGACAACGGTCTGTCCATGTCTCCTGATTGTGCTCTTGCATTGTCATTCTGCCACAGGCATACGATGAGACTAGAAGTGGCTTTTTCAATACACACTATGCAGGTACGGTCCACTGTTGTAACCATCAGGAAATCCAGCCGGATAGCAGTTAGCAGAGGAAGTACAGTAGAGCTGTGAGCACTGGAGGTTATGAGCTACCTAAAGTAGAACTCCAGCCACATATCCCATTACTTAGTTTAGGAGCACTCTGAGCTGAGGGTGCATGGTAATGCTTCTTCCTTGCATTCCCCACTGCACCAATCGACAGTCCTAACCTTGTGCAGGCTTTATGATTTTCCCCTCCCTCACACGACAGTGTTAGTTCCTGCAATTAGCTGCTGAGGCACTGCATCAATAAAGGAGGAGGTTACATTCTCCCTACATCCGGAAGCACTGGGTATTTTGCTGCTCAGATGGAGCAACAGGGCATGTGGGAGCACAGGAAATGTGACTATAAGTGGGTCAGGAGGTGGGCTTGAGACTCATTGTCCTGAACAAGCAAAATGACAATCTATTTAAACAAAAATTTGAGGCCAGAGTTATGCTTTTACATTTTTGAATGCTTTGTTCCCTGGTAATGGTCACTTAGGCTTACTGTGATCTCCCAAAGAGGCACTAGATCATGGCTTGATCCAGCTACAATTGGCACAGAGACTGTCATCTAAAGTATGTGGGGACCTTTAGTGTCCCTACAGATGCAATCCTGCAATCCACATAACATGAAATATCAGAACAGGAAATGTGCGTCCCATGTGAGGTGGTAATGAACGAGCACAGCATGACCTTGCCCAACCTCTGTCATCTACCTTGGCTGTATTCGCAACTCCTGTACAGACACCCTCAACCTCTCCCACCCCAGTGCAAGGCATCAGTCTCAGAGGCCTGTGACTCATTCGCTCAGCACAAGCAAACCTTCACAATTACTCTCCTGACATGCTATTAGTGACACAAATGCCATATTTTTCTCTGGCTGGGTAAAAATAACACACGGGAAAAATGTCACTTTAAAACAATGAACATAAGGCAGATAATTCCCACGTATTCCCGTGAGTCACAGAGAACAAACATGCTTTAACTTGAGAAGCCTACTCCAATAAATCCTTTCATATTTTCAGAGCAAAAAGCAAGAAACACAGAGTAATGGAGGAAACAAAATCAATTCATCATGTAAAGATTAAAAGTATGTTCTAGTCAAACATTAAAATGTTGCACTTAAATTGACTCAAGGGAGACAGCCTACATACCGAAAAGGTTATAATTTCCATTCTAGCACTTATTTTCTGCTCTTGGCTGCCCTGGTAGCTAAATCACACTAGTTGCACCCGTAGAACCCTCAGGATTTGCTTCGAACCCATGGTAGCAGCAAACCCGAACCTCATCTCCAGTCAGTAGCTATCCAGCTTCGTCTTACAACTAAACCACAAGAATCCTTTTCTGTGATCTCCAAGCCTTTTTTCATGAATCAGTGATGATTAAATTGTGATTTAATGAAGAGCTGTGCTCATCTGTTAAAAATTAGGAAATAAATTTTGGGTGGACACACCCATTTACCAAAGAACACTATACATGTGACATTTACTTTTTCACGTTGTAGGAATAGACTTACCCTTTTGCGTAAGTTGTAGGTCAGAATCAGGTTTCGGGAAAAGGAGTGTGAAAAGGCAGTGTAGAAGTCTAGGACTTTTTGTAAGGCATCTCTCTTAATGACATGAAGATCACAGTAGGTTAGAGCTCTGACGTTAGCGCAGGATGGTGCGAGAGTGGTCTCCTTCCAAAATATGTCTCCAAACACATCGCCCTTGCCTGCAGGAAACAACAATTGACAAGTTACTTTTATTAAACTCTAACTGCAGGGAGCAAATTAGATCATCAGTGAGTGCCTAAAGCTACCCAGAAAACACCACAAATGTGCTCAAATCACAAAATGTGATCGGTTTACTTTAAAAAGAATGTATAGATTTTTCAATAATATATTCTTTAACATATGTAAAAGAAATGAACTTGATGTAAATAATTTTACCAATGTTAATGTTCTCAAAACCTTATATTTATAT